AACTGTAATCCAATTACCACTCACTGAAACAGTAACTGTAACCGAATACAGTTACTCATAATTTGTACTCTGATTACATAATGTACATGTAATCTGTTACTCCCCAACACTGCTTACCACATGACATCACAAGGTGCAACAGCATTTTCTGTTTGACAAAAGAGCCTAAATATACAGATTCCATCAAGAACATAACATAACGTAACATAGAGTGACCAGATTTTTAAAATAAAAACTGCGACAGCCCCGGTTTGTGATGGTTGTTTATAATAAAACTGTGAATCAAGGAAAACTGTTCCACACTCAGTCCATTCATGACTAATGTGAGGCAGTATAGTCACATTTTCTTTGTGTTTTGGTCATTTTTAAGCAGCTTTTTTGTATTTTACTTAAACAATATGATAATTTCTGTCTCTCTTTACTGTTGGCAGGGATCAGGTTGGTCCAAAATAGGGAATTTTTTTGTATAAAACTTGGACAAATGAATATTTTTGGGTAAATCTGCTGGAACAGAGGACACAGGGCTCAAAACTGGGACTGTCCCGGGTAAAAAGGGACGTCACCGTAAATTATTATTTGAACACAGAGTAGAGGAGTACAAGCCTACAAAATTCCAGCCCTCTGTGTGTGATACTTACGGAAATATCGACCTGTGAAAACGGCCGAGAAAAAATGACACGTATTTGGGCTCGTAAATGGACACATACTCCCCTCACTAAATGAGCTGTAACTTGAAAAGTATTGATCGAAAATTACTAAAATCACAGGGTTGGTACATGATAGTAAGGGACCAACTGGTCATTTAAAAAATATATTTTTTTAAACATGATGCGTGAAATTTTCTGGAAATTTGATGAAACGGTGTGGAATGACTCCTGAGTGTTTCCAGAACGAGCCAACAGAGTCTTAGTAGTGATAAAATAGCTTGATGTGCTGTAAAAACTGCTCAGTTATTGTAATAATCCAATATATACAAAACCTCCAGGCAGATTAGTCCAAATGATTGTTTGTAACAGACAAATGTCATTCCTGCTTAAACAGGTCCAGCACCTCTCGTGATTGATGGATGGAGAGCTGCAGCTCAACATCTGGAGGCTCTGGTTCTTCAGTGTGAAAAAACAATGCAAGTCTTATGATTTAGGTTCTATATTATTGATTACATACAAGTTTTTGTGTTTTCTTACTTCTTAGACGCCTTCTTCTGCGATCGATAAAAAAAACAGCAGCAGGTCCGCCAAGAACCAACAAAACAGGCAAAATGATGATGAGTGCCAGAAAAGACTTGTCTGCAAAACAGATAAAGGATAATGGTTTACAATGTAAGTTTAAAAGTAAAAATGTGTATGAAAAATTATATTTATATTATATATTTATATTTATGCTCCTAAACAGCGCTTTTTTGTGGCAACACTTCCAGTTCAACAGGGATCTCATTCATGTCAATGGAGAAACTGGGTAAAGTTTTGCATCTTAAATATGATATAAAGTCGGTTCATTTGTGTAAAATTTTCACCTGCACCAACAAGTCACACTGCACTGATTCTCTGGAGGCTCTAAAACGGCTTTATCGTCCATATTGAACTTATTTGCTGCCAGGATCGTGAGTCCCAAACAAAATAAAACAACTCAAATCATGACGGCGGTGCCCACAGAAACTTCTGAAATAAACTGAATAAGGAACAGTGTGATTGGTCTAAATGTGAAATATCCACATTTCAAACTCCGCCTCTGTAATCAGAAACACCTGACTGTAATCATACCAGTCCTGTGTGATGTCACATAGTACTTGAAACTGCACAGACAGTGAAGGCAGAACAGACTCTGAACTAAACTGGCCAATAAAGAAAGATAAATAGTAGATCATGAGATTCAAACATCATAAACATCTGGTACAAAAAGTAGATTTTATGAACTGAAAAATCCTCTTGGTCGAGTCGTCTTCACTCTAAAACTTTTGTCCAGTTGACAGAACTGGATTCTCTTTTGTGATGGATTCTGTCTGGATGATTTAGGGATCACACAGATTTAAGATCAAATAAAATAATCCTTTTATTATTTCCATGGGAGAAATGTGTCCTGGGGCAGAGGGTCACATGTTTTAAAACAAAAACAAGACAACACAGAAACATAAACCCAAAGAGACATGATCCACCAGAACATAAATAAATAAAAGACCAAGTATGACCACGAGTGACACAAAAACAGGACTTTTAAATAACTTTGTACAGGATGGACCTTCACAGTCTTATATTCTATTAATAACTGCACTAATCCCTGGCCTATGTGCAGTTTTAGTTGCAGATTTAGTGTTTACTTCCACTTTACTGTCTGATTGTTTTATGAACATTTATACACTTTGTGAGAGAAATCAACACGTGTAGTGTTGAGTCCCAGATACAAAAGTAAATATATTCATTCAAACAGACATAATCCTAAAGCCATTTTACTGTCTCACCTTCGGGTTGTTCTGCTGGGATTTGGCGTGCTATTTCGAGGATGGTGATGATGTCTCTGACTCCAGAGAGCTCAAACACACACTTGTATCTCTTCCAGTCCTCTCTCCTGACCTGAGATAGATCCAGGTCCGCTCGGGTCTGGAAGGTTCCGTCTCCGTTGGGCAGGATGTCTCCATACTCCACATCCTCATGGAGCTCCTCTCCATCTTTAGTCCAGAACATTAGGGCTTTGTCTGGGTAGAAGCGTCTGGCCTGACAACTAACATATGTCCCAGGTCCATCTATGAAATAAATGTCGGGGAACTCTGAAAAAAACAAATACTGATTATTACTACTAATTACAGTTAGTATTGTTATAATATCATTAGTATTACTAACTCAACACTTGGTGTTATGATGAATCACTGCACTGGTGTGTGTGTAAAACTCCTTTTCTACTGTTTCATCCTTCATTTGTAGTGAAGCCAGATCAGTCTGATTACATTCATTTTAGTCCTAAAATTCTACACCCATTAACTCTAGATTATAAAATTCAAAAGTGACATACAATTCACAATGAGAAAAATAAAAGATTATAAATATTTTATATTTCATATTAATAAATGGACAGCAGGTCCCTGTGTTTGATCACAGTCACATTTGGGATGATTGTGCTCCGTGTACAGAGTTCACCTGAGCTAATGACACTGACTCTGGTTCCTGTTTTGGTCCACAGGTGTGGACAGAATCACAAACATGTAATTCACCTAAAATAATTAAATATGAGTTTCTTCAATATGGCAGAATGCCTCTTTAATAAAGTCTTCTGTACCTATTCTACCTCCATGTTTCTGCAGTGTCTTCAGCCACCGGGGGCACTCTTCAGTCAGGTAGTGTTTCCAGTACTCAGTCTGTTCCCTCAAACATGTCTCTGTTCCTCTGGGCCTCTGGAGCTTCAGTCGTCCACGACTGTGTCTCTGGTGTGAACCTGAGGAAGTCCTGAGCGTTCAGGCCGAAGTGGAAGAAGCCCGAGGTCTGGTCTGTGTCTGAGTCCCACTCACAGCCCACAGAGGCCTGCAGCACCACAACCCCTGCACCAGCACAACACACACATGAACACACACATGTGAACAACATACACCGTAATAATATATAAGTATATTTATTATTATATAATAATATAATCAATCAATCAATATCAACACATCTACAACTTTCCAAAAAGACTTTGTGGGTCTTTGTGATGAACATATTGCTCAAGTCATTATTTTATATTATAATTTCAGTATGTTAATTATAATATTCTATGTAATAGAATCATGTGTTTGTTTGTCAAATCTCTGGATGAACAAAGCCTCACAAACCTTCAGTGGAGATGTTCTTCTGGTCCTCCATGATGTTCTTCATTAGGCCCCGTGAGATGGTGACCACACTCTTCTGCCTGTCCCACTGGCTGGGCTGGTTTTTTTGCTGCTTTCTTCACCCAGTCCTGAGTCGTCACCAGTTCCTTGAGGTGTTCATCATAATGAGCCACCTGCAGCTCATCCATCAGGACCACAGCTGTAAACTCAGCCAGGCCCAACCCCACTGAAGACGTGCACAGAGTTCTCAAAATGTATCTCCCTGAAAGACCAAACATACGTCACTTTTAACACAGATCATAAAGAGTAAAATGATGTGATGTTGTTTATCACTCTCCAATTACCCCCAAACTTATGGAATATTTAGGCAAGAAAATCTGTTATTAACAATTATTTATCTAATCAATTGAAATGTGTTGGTTTCTTCTTCGTCTAATATAAATTTAAAAACTTTTCTGTTGACCATTTTTTGGAGCACATTTGCATTACCATCAAGACGAGACAAAAATCCTGTTCAAGTGAGTGAACTGGAGCTCATCACTGTGAATATTGATCATATGATCTGGATATTTGATAGAGACACAGACAAGACTAAAATATAATTGTAGCTCCTCCCCTGAGAACCAGATTGGATTGAAATTTCAGAGATTTTCACTCACCAAATATTTTAATGGAGCGAGTGAGTCTGAGAGATTTTATCCATTTAAACTCAAACCTGGTCCTCACCGTCTTCAGACGTTCAACATTAATGATCATTGCAGAGTTTTGGAGATTATTCATACATAATGTCCCAGCAGAAAAAAAATACTTTATTTTGGTAACTTTGGCAACATCTCGTGAAAACCTTAATCTCATTCAAATTTCTATGTTCTATGTTCTACAGTTCTATGTTCTTTTTCAAATTTTTCAAACAAATGTGAAAACTCAGAGCTGTGGAACATAGATCTGACCCACTGGGTTCTGTCTGTGTCTTTAGAAGTCCTCCCCTCATTTAAAGTGAACTCCAGATCCTCCCTGATCCTCCTCTGTGTTCTGGAATCTTTTCAGTCTCCAGGACCAGGTCAATCACTCAGATTTTTAGTTTTGTAGAGATAAATGCATTTGCAAAAAATAATATTTTACTGTTGGTCTGTTTGTAGGATGGAAACATGTTTGTGGTCACAGTTGTGACTAGTGTGGACACTGTATTAATAGGGTAGTGTATATTTAAAATCTATCAAATTATTTGCACAGCATTTGATTCCACGTCCTGTAGTCCAGTGTTTTTCCACCTTTTACAGGCCTCGGCCCTTTTGGTATTTATTAATCCTGTGCTCCTGTCGCTTCTTTTGTTTTGTGTGTGCACTTAAAAAATCCCCACTACACCACTGCTCATTAATAACAATAAAACATAGTGATAATAATTTGTATTTGCATAGTTGCTACAGATGCAGTTTGCTAAACGTCCTGGTGACATCATCTCAAAATCTGATTGGTTGAAGCAGCAGTTTCATGGACATTTATTTTGTGTTCGAGTTCCTGCAGAACAGATTGTGAAGGCCTCACACTTCTTTGACTTTACCTGGCAACAAGTGATGGCTGAAATGTGATTGGGCAAATTCTTTAATATGTAAATCCTTGTGTGAAGCAGCACAAACATCGGAAAAGCTCTGAAAGGAAGTGGACAGATCATTTGGAATTATTTCATAATAATATAATTAACATCAGTCTGTGAAGAACTTTCAGGACCTGATGCCCCCCCACTGGTAACAACATTAGTTAGGTTCTTTTTGTTGTTGTTGTTTAGTATTTCCTTTTTATTTAAACCCCTTTATTTCACCACCACATTTCTTCTTTTTTTTTTTCCTTTCCTACACTGTAAATTAATAAATTCGTAATTCTTGTTTTTTATTGTTACTTCCCTTCTCCTGTAGCAAAAGAGAATGTAACACCACCGTCTTGTGATCAAATAAACATATTCTATATCTGACTCTTAGGCTTTGGCAACAGTGAACTTCTTTTGAGCCTTTTCTATTTCAGATATTTACACAGAACATTCTTAAATGACTCTTTTTTACATTAAAACCTCTTTAGTAAACTCTTTTTCAAGACACACCAGACAATCCCTCAAGGTCAAACTAGTGTTCGTCATCACACTGGTTCAAAATCAAGTGTGTAATTACAACAAATAAAAACAAAAGAAGGAAAAAATCTTACGTGATGAGACCGTGGAGAGAGTGTGAGCCAGAACCAGAACCAGCAGCAGGTAGACGGGTGGATCCATTCTCTCTCTGCTTTTACCTGTATGACAGACTCAAACAGGAAGAGCAACAATACATGACACACAGAGAAAGTGAAAGTAAAATAAGATTGTGTGTTTCTTTTATTAGGTTGACATTACTACAGGTGTGTCACACAAATGAGAGGTTTCAGTGTGGCTGAAAAGCACATTCACAGATTTAAAGCAGAACTATTCTGAAAAACAGACTTTTCAGAGCTTTTGCATGTTCTAGTTTTCAGATCATTTCTAACTTTAATTTTTTTGTTGTTGCTGAAATTTTAAGTGCACATTTTCCAGCAAGACAGACCAGTCGATAGTCGTGACTACTTTTCCCTGACGAAGACCATCATGCTGGTCGAAACACATTGTCGTCCCTTCATGTAATAAAGTACTTTTAATATACTCAGTCGAAGTGCCTCGGGTTTGTACCTCACCCATTTTTACATTTTTCTGTAAGGGTAATTTTCTGTTCTAAGACCACTGCCTTAACCCTCGTAGAGCACCTGTACTGTTATTTTTTTACTCTTTTAAGACCCAGTGAAGCGCTCTACCCCTCTTGCTTTATCTAACTATCCTGTGTGTTTCATTAGGCCTATGAAAGTAGTAGTAGAATTTTAATTTTACCTTTAGTTCAGTGGAGATCGGCAGTTCCAGGGCTGAAATTATCCAAATGATACCGTGGTGAAGTTAGTTTCACGTCAGACGTTAGATATTCAGTGACGCGTCAACAGCGGAGATGTTCATTGCCTGTGCCCCGCTTGCTCGATCACGGTGCGGGGAGCTGTACACCAAAGCTCCGCTGAGTCCGCGGGTTAGGGACCGTCAATAAATTACCATTGCATTGAATGGAGTCTGCTAAAAAAAAAATAAAAAAATAAAAAAATTAAATAAGAAAAAAGAAAAAGGGAATCAAATAAAAAGAAACAAAAAAGGGATTGTACATGTACGTTTTTATAGAATATTTGTTATTTTATGTATTTTGAGGGTTAATTAGTTAATGCATTTTTTTCAATATCTTTCCAGGTAAATTAATCTAAAAACGCCAAACCAAAGTTATTATTAGTAGTCCAAACTCCTCAGGTATCACGCACACTTTTAGTTTTCCAAATTAACCCTTTGTGGGATTTTTAGTTTGGAGTTGGTGTCATCTACCTTAGAAGGTATTGAAAAAAACAAAAAAAAAACAAAATGTGTGCGTGATACATGCGGAGTAGGACTACTATAACAACTTGGTTTGGTGTTTTTAGATTAATTGACCTGGAAGATATTTAAAAAATGCATTAACTAATTAACCCTCAAAATACATAAAAATAACAAATGTTTCATAAAACCCTTTTTTATTTTTTTATCAATCCTTTTTTATTTCTTTATATATATATTTGAGCAGACTCCATTCAATGCAATGGTAATTTATTGACGGTCCCTAACCTGCGTCTCAGCGGAGCTTTGGTGTACAGCTCCCCGCTCCGTGATCGAGCAAGCGGGGCACAGGCAATGAACATCTCCGCTGTTGATGCGTCACTCAATATCTAACTTATTCTAACTTTTTTCTGTTTGAGAGAAGAACTCAGCTTGAATATACAGAAACATAGGGTGACCAGATTTTCAAAATAAAAACTGCGTCACTCCCGGTTTGTGATGGTTGGTAATAATAAAACTGCGAATCAAGTGCGTAAATTAAGGGAAACTGTTCCGCACTCAGCCCATTCATGACTAATGTGAGGCAGTATAATCACATTTTCTTTGCGTTTTGGTCATTTTAAAGCAGCTTTTTTGTATTTTATTCAAACTATGATAATTTATGCCTCTTTTTACTATTGGCAAGGATCAAATTGGTCCAAAATAGGGACATTTTTGTATAAAACTTTGTATAAAACTGGGACAAATCAATGTTTCTGGATAAATCTGCTGGGAAAGGGGACACAGGCTCAAAACTGGGACTGTTCCGGGTTAAAAAAGGAACGTCAGGTCACCATAAGTAGCATTCTTTTTCTTTTTTTTTTTTTTTTTTAATATAATAATAATAATAATTCACAACACCTTAACTAAACCGCTAAATATAAAAACTAATAATCTATTTAAAAAAAAAAAAATCTTAACCAAAAAAAAAAAAAAAAAAAAAAGAAAATAACACGAGTTGCACGTTACTTCCGCTCTCCAGCTCCACAAAACTACACGGCGCGCGCTGATTGGCTGGCGCTCCACGTTGCTTAGTGAGAGCCAATCAGCGCGGGCCACGGTGAGCCTTTCCCGGGCGGTACATATCGGGCAGCGGCGGCGGGGCGGATAGTGCAGCGGGACGGTGCGTTTGTGTGACAACCGCGGACTTACCGACAACATGCCTCCGTTTCTATTTGGTAAGACGATATATTTTAACTCCCTGTGCGCAGATTTCAAGCTTAAAAACGCGTTAGTAAAGCTGTGTTTTACCGCGCTTTCTCTGGTAGCCAAATATGCTACGTTATGATACAAATTTGGCAGGGCCCATTTGATGCAATGAATTAACCATAATACCCACATTTTTCTCATTTTTCAGCTCAAAATCTGCGTTTAAATCAGTTCTAGCCTTAAACTTTTTCGCTCAATGCCCACTGTGGTCACTTATTTACTCATTTTACTCGTAACTCTGTGGTTTATAGCCTGAATAAGTTGTAAAGTGCGTTTGAATTCTTAAAACATACAAAAGAATAGACTAAATAAAATGGAAGATTTGGGTGTTTTCATAAAGAAATGTGAGTAGAGTAGCCAAAAAATGTACTCAAGTAAGTGTAAAGTTACTTCAAAATGATACTCGAGTAGATTTGCACAATAATAGCCCAGGAAATTACTCAAGTATTTGGGGAAAGTAAGAGTAACTTTCAGCACGTGACATCTGGTTTGTAATTTTAAGTGAATATGATTAGATAGTAAAATAAAAGGTAAAATAGTAAATAAATAATGCACAAAATCTGTTTTGTTTTTTTTAAAGGACAGACCCAAAAAACAAATGATTCACACACAGATAAAAGTGATGCAACAAAGTGAGTCAGATGCCCTGCCAAGGATAGATTATTGATCGTTTAAATGTTGATGCTTGGACCTGCAGAGGTGTCATAACGCAATATTTAGACCAGATTTTGTGTTAAAGGTCCATTATTAAGCAGAATAGAGTCTTGTGAGTGTTAAATGCACAAAATGTCCCTTGTAGATCAATAAAATGTGTGTCTAAGTCTAAGTTTAATGATGTTTCCTCCTCAAAAACAGACCTGGAGTTGTGTTTTTTTCATTCACACATGTTTGAATCACACTTTAATATTAGTCTGTCTACATCTCCAATGCTCAAAACGCTCTGTTCCACCTTGTGATGTCATGCAGTGGTAGTTTTCAAGGTAACAGCTCCTTTTATCTTTAGGTCAGTAGAGATTGGCAACTCCAGGGCTGGAATTAAGTGATTCTAGTGAAGGTGTGTGGAGTTTAGGAGCGTGTAAAAATAGCAAAATATCTTTATCGTATCGTTTAAAGTGATGATGCTGTGTCGATATATCACCAAGAGTGTTTTTTGGTTTATTTTAGTCAATTATTTTGTTACAGCGCTACAGTTTTGTTGCTTGTTTAGAGGAAGGAAACTAATTTATTTGTCACATTTAACATTTTCACTATTTTGATGATTAAACTGTTTGTGTTTCATATTAATTATTATTTATATTTGTTTGTTTATTTCATTCATAAAGTATAAAAAGACATCAACAGTGTCACAACCTCAAACATACAAGAAATGAATGAAAAGGAGCAGAAAGAAGAAGAGTCGTCTCATGTTATCTGCCCCCTTTTTCCCTTTTCAAGACAAAACATCAACACTGATCGTCACTTTAAATCATTTCAAATCAGGACATTTCAGTTCAGGCGCAATTATTAATCAATTGCAAACAGAAATCTTCACTATTATGCACCACAACTAAGTTTTCTTAGATTTAAAAAAAATGTTTTTTAAGTGCTCCATAACCTTGGTTCTGAATCTGTTCTTGAATTGTAGTGGTTGTTTCTTGTCTCAAACAGTTTTAAATCAGGGGTGTCCAAACTTTTTTCATCAAGGGCCACGTATCTAAACACAGACTAAGCAGGGGCCGATTGAGGGCCGTAGACTGGTGCTCAATACAGTGAATAATTGAAATATTGCATGTTTAACATGTTAGAATGAGCCATTAGTCCTTTATTCATGCTAAGATCCTTAAAACCACACACTAAACCACACACTAAATATTAAATTATATAGATTTTCAAAAAACTTCCAGTAAAAAGTTCATTTTTAATTGATGCAAGGTAATTTGGGCCAATTCACCTGGAAGCCTGAGGGCCAAGAAAAATTTGTTTGAGGGCCGCATTTGGCCCAGGGGCCATAGTTTGGACATGCCTGCTTTAAATATTTACAGGTAAAACATTGCACTTTGTTTTAAACTTGACTTTGAGGACACTTAAGTCGACAATATCCTGCATTTTCAACACTTTAAGTTGAACAAATAATGGGTTGGATGGCTCTATAAAGATTGTTGGTGATAATTCGCAAGGTCCTTTTCTGTAAAATAAATAAAGGTTGTAGGTGAATTTTACATGTTGACCCTCAAATTTCTCCAGATCTGGTGCAATTATAGAGTTATATAAAGTTAATAATGCTGCAGTATTTAGTGAGAACTTTACTTTAAGCAGGACAGCGATGGCTTTTGCAAAAGAAGTGGTTTAACAAAGACTTTTAGAATCACAGCATCCGTTATTTTTTATTGAACCGTATCGAATCGATTTGAAATATATCTTATCAAATCGAATTCTCACTGTATCGAGATCGTGGCCTGTGTATCGTATCGGCGACTTCTGAATGATACCCAGCCCTAGTGGAGTTTAAAAACACAGTGGAGCGCGTCCTGTGTCACCACATGACATCACAAGATGGAACGGAGTGTTTTCTGCAAAAATAAACTTGTGTGAATGAAACAAAACACAACTCCCGGTCTGTTTGTGATGAGGAAACTACATTAAAACTCGGACTGGGGATCATTAAGAAGTTGCCGATACAGTGAGCTTTCAATTCAATACGATTCGATACGATATATTTTAAATCGATTCGATACGGTTCAATAAAAAATAAAGGCTAAATCGTGGCTGTGATACTAAAAGTCTTTGTTAAATCACTTCTTCTTGTGCAAAGTTCATATGAAACACAAACATTTTAATCATCAAAACAGTGAAAATGTCAAATGAGTCACATAAACAAGCAACAAAACTGCAGCTGTAACAAAATAATTCAGTAAAATATACCAAAAAATACTCTTGGCGATATATCAATACTGTAATTTTGCACACTCCTGATTAAAACAGAGATCAGAAACTAGTGTAATATGGACATTTTAATATAAATTTTACGTTTGTCACATTCTTCTGTTGTCTTTTGTCTGATCTGAGTTGTTGTTTGTCTCTGTGGCAGGTCTTCTGGGCTGCTCCCTGCTCGTCTCTGCTCAGGCCTTGTACTCCTCCAGCGACGATGTGGTGGAACTGACTCCGTCCAACTTCAACAGAGAGGTGATCCAGAGCGACGCGCTGTGGCTCGTCGAGTTCTACGCCCCCTGGTAGGTCACACTTACAATATATCTGTTCTCCAGGTATTTTTGAGTAATAAAATCACCTTCGTAAGAGAAAAGAGTACTTCATTCCTGGTGTAGTAAAATGTCCAAGTTCACCTGGGCTGTATTTGCATAAAAATCACAAAATACATGAATAAATATAAACCAGGGCTACAATATATGTTACAATGGAATCACAATTCAATAAATCACAATTTGAGTAATTATCAAATGGCAAAGGCTGAAGTTATTTTTAGTCGTTACTTTAGAATGTTGTGTCTGAAATTTAGGAAAGAAAAAAAAAAAGTAAATAAATAAATAAAATGAACAAATTTGTGTTGATTTATTTTATGTTATTTATTTATTTAATTCCTTTATTTGTACATATTCAAATTTTTAGATGTTTAGTTTATTTATTTAAATTAAATTTAAAAAAAAATCATTGTATTGCGTAAAAAAACAAAGCTTAATGTGTCACTGAAATAAAAATAAATCAATTGAACAATGTCTGTCTACATGCTGAGCTATTTCTACAATATAAAACAAACAGCAAAAACGAACAAACAAAAAAAAAAAATCAAAATAAGAAGAATAATGATGATAATGATAATTATGATAATATATGATAACAAATAATAATGATGTTTATGCTTTATTCTAATTATTTAATAGCTATTAATGTTTTTCTTGTATATGTGTGGATATGTGTATCCAGACATGTGTAAGTCTTCTTTATCTACATATTGGTACTTGTGGGATGTATATGTATATATATTTATATAAACATAGATATATCTGTGAATATAAAACATATGTGAAAGTGGGTACACATGTGTATAGTTGTACTTTATATCACGGGGGGAAAAAAATTAATAAAAATATTGTGTTATAACTAATTTGAAATTTTGTTTAGAAAATGTGTATTGGCAAATCACACAAGTGTTTAAAAAAAAAAAAAAAAAAAAAAAGACAGAGAATCTTGTGTAGAAAGATGAAACTGGTCAAGATCTGATCACCAAGTCTGTGCAAAGTGAGACCATTAGGGATGTAACAATAACAATATCCAAATCTCACAGTACGATATTATCACGATATGCATCTCACAATATTTACTGCGATATTTTGAAGAGCCTGATATTGTAGATGGGACACTTTGTTGCTTTTAAAATACCTTGACAAGATTTCGGTGTGAATTATTTCCGTCATAATCCCAAGAATTCAAGTCAAAAACATATCTCTTCATGTTGTCTGCGCTGAAATGAATCATGGGAAATGTAGTTCCCGATGTTTATCAGCTGTTCCTACTAAATAACAAATCATTTAAGTAAAGGAACTTGTAATCTGATATATTGTGAGACTTTTGACGATACGACATCACGATATTTCAGAGACCTTTATCACTTTCATCGAGTCTTTTTTTAAGTTTTGCATATTTTCTGCTGTGTTCACGGTGCTTTTTGTCCTCTGCTTCTCCAAATCATTTAGGAGTGTCTTTTAATGACTTAATTAATGTTCTAAAGCTGCAGGTGGAGTCGTAAAGTCATAAAACGCCACACTATGTCAATTGTACTTTTTCCCAGTGTCCACAATTACTGACAAAACAACAAACACTAAATTTATTTCTTTTATTTCTTGAACTTATGAACTTATTGTTACGTTTTATCAATTCTATCAAGTCTGCACCTTTTATAACCGTCTATCTAATCAGAAACGGTTAAACTTTGCCTAAATCTGAATACATTTACATATTTGTTTTACTTTCCCTCAGGTGTGGACACTGTAAGAACCTGGCCCCGGAGTGGAAGAAAGCCGCCACGGCCCTCAAGGTGAGTCCACGTGTCGAGTCTGCTGGTCCAGTCTGTCCTCTGCGCTCCGTGTTTACATTCTGCAGATGCTCGTAGACGCGGCAAACAGATAATGTAGTTGTAAATGCTGTGGCTACAAGTGTTGGTTGTTAAAATAAAATAAGAGGGGACTGGTCGGCTTCACCTTCACCCAGCAAAAACAAAAAAAAGTCAAGATTTTTTCTTTAAAATAGGAGGCAGTCACAAAAATGTCCCTTTACCGAAAATATTTATTCTTTCTCGCATCGTGGATTTGTGGAAAATAAAGTCAAAAGCGACAGAAATGACCCTCCAGACTGGCTGAGCTGCTCCCAATTTATAGTTCCCCCAGACAAGAAGTACGTCCTCTGGGTCAGCGCCACCAAACACAGGTTACTTCTTCTAGAAACTTTCCCCGTTACTACAGTGCGCCACACTTTCTCACAAGGGCCCAAGTCCCCTTTAAATTGCTCAAAACTTAAACAAACAAAATCCATAAAACAAAAGAACTGAAACTGATTCTCCCTTTCACATGGTCTGGGCCTAAACCCTCCCCCCAGAAACTACAAATATGGCCGACCAAGGTCACGCCCGCTCTTTTGTCTCCAGACCATGCGGAGTAACAGGTAAGATGGTAAGATTTATGTGACAAAATTAATAGATATAACCAAATAAACATGTATTTAAAGTAACTGGTGTGTAGATTAACTTAAGTAAACAAAGACTAAAAAAACGAGACACGAGTAGGAACGTCTTCTCATTATTTTCGACGTTTCCTGAGTTTGTATTTTGCGTTTCTGTGTCCGTCACAATCCCCGAACTAAAGCAAATTGCAGTTATAGTAGTGTGTGGCGACCTCTGCTTGAAAAATACTGAGAGAACTTGAAGTATAAAGATTATATAAGAGTACAAAGTTATGTAATCCGTAAAAATACAGCGTGCGAAACTGTAAAATAATGCTTCGGCAGGTCGTAGAAGGCGAACAATGGACATTTGACCTGCCTCCATCTCAGTTAAACGTTACAGGGATATCCAATACTTGTGCGTTTGTGTTTGTTTGTGTTGTCAGTGCGCTGCCGTGGTGAGCTTTGCCTAACGCTAGACCTACAGAGGCACGTTTGAGAGTAGCACACTGAGCAGGAGGTGTGACGTGGGCGGTGCTACTCATCCATATTCATGCACTTCATACAAACGAACGCGTCCTGACCTCCTCTAACCTGCTTTTACACAAGACTTGGCTCCACTTTCAAATCTACAACGCGTTTACTGTGGAATATCTTCATTTAGTAAAAACCAAAAGTCAAGATTTTTCCTCGTGCGATCACCCATCACAGTTTACAATTCAATAAAATTTTTGTTCTTATTAAAATCTTTTAAATGGTCTTTTACTGACAGAGGATTGGATTTAGACTTCTCTTTAAAAAAAAACAAAACAGAGCCGATCAATGAACATCGCGCAACCTTAATGTGAGGGCGCAGACAGAATGTAAATAAAATAATGTTTTGGTGTAAAGACGAACAAAAATGGCAAAATAGACCGTTCAAATTAAAGAGTTAAAATTAAAGAGTGCCTAGTCATAGACGGCAAATGACAGCAATTTTTTTTTTTATGATGCAGATCTCGATACATGGGCCACGTTTTTCGATACAGTACACTTTCTGTTCAATACGATATATTTTAAATCTGTTTGATACGGTTCAATAAAACATAAAGGCTAACTAAAGCCTGTGATAATAAAAATCTTGGATAAACCACTAAGTTTGTGAAAATGTAATATCAAAAACACCAGTTTTACTCAAAACAGTGAAAATGTCAAATGTGTTGCATAAACAAGTTTCCTTCCTTCAAACAAGCAACAAAACTCTTTCACAAAATAAAAAAAATCTGAATATACCAAAAAATACTCTTGGTGATATATTAATATAGAAACTCACAATATTGATACTGTATCATCAAATTAAACGATCAGTATTTATGCAAACCTGTGCCGATGACGTTTATGTTGAGAGTGGAACAAACGTTCGACCAACTGAGCCACTGCCGCCCAATGAAAACAACCAACGTGAAGGCTTCTCCAGTGTTTTATATTACGAGTAAACCGCATGAAATGACAAACTTTTAAGAGTGCTGTAAAGATGTTCAGTCAGTGTTGGGAAGGTGACTTTTAAAATATATTCCCCTACAGGTTACAGATTACATACACCAAAATGTAGTTTGTAACATAATCCATTAAATTACTTTAGGTGAGTAACGTAATCTGAATACTTTGGATTATTTGATATTGTCATGTTTTTTAAAACTACATGAGCCACATCCTCCAAATTCATGTTTGTTCTCTTCAAATTGTCTGTTGAGCCCAAGTCTCCATGAGTAGATTTGCTGTAGAGAAGCAAAGACTAGAAAATCTTCACATAAGATGTTTCATCTGCTAAAAGAAAATAAAAACCCCAGAGTTTCCTTAACCACATTAAAAATATTATTGATAGAGAATTGATTTCTATATGAGATCACTGCTGCTTTAAATTATGTCTGCCCTACTGTTAGTGTCATATTGTTTATTTAAAAAATCACTTTCAGTACAAACATAAAGGCGCTAGCCCAGTAAAAAATCAGGAATATTTGATGTTTTTTACTCAAAATGATGCAGAATCAGATTATTAACAACAACGATTATTAACGACCTCGTCCACTGTGTGACTGACGCCACCAACGTTAACAAGACGCTTACGTAACTCTTATTGCGCGCAGACTGTTTCCGGCAATAAGTGGAATTACCGTAATAAAGTAATAATAATTTAAAAAAAAAGTGATATAGTGACGGTGTTGTGTTCTGCTGTTTGTGTTCAGGGTGTGGTGAAGGTCGGAGCCGTGGACGCAGACCAGCACAAGTCTCTGGGAGGACAGTACGGCATCAGAGGATTCCCCACCATCAAAGTGTTTGGAGGCAACAAGAACAAGCCCGAAGAATACCAGGGTAAGAGAACAACAAGCTTTTTTCATTCTACACGGTGTCACAAAAACTTGACATCATTTTAAAAGCAATTATCTTAAACTGTCAAGTCTTGCTCAGTGATGATGCAGATCCTTCACTCTTTACATTCACACAGAGAGTGTGTTTGGTGTTTGTGCAGACGTCCCTGAACGCTCCCGGATGTGTCGTGTTTACTTTGGTCTGCTCAGATCCGTGAGAGTTTACTTTATCATCTTCAACTTGAGATTAGATCTGAGGCTCACTTCACTTTCTTACTGTCATTTTGGAACATTTTCTTCACTGACTAAGCTTTTTTTTTTTTTTTTAACTGTCAGAATAAAGTTGTCTACTGACACATTTTTTTTTATTATACATAATCATTTTTATTATGCTCCTCCCATGTGGGGCCAAGTTAAATAAGTGTTTTCTAAACTGTCACACAAACTTAAAAAGTACATTCTGTGTACTCTGAATATAAGTACGACAGATGGTTATTAAAGAGGTAAATTTTCTATAATAATTCTGTAATAATTGACTTTATGTTGGAATTATTTGTTAGCCTGATTCATCAGCCTGACCTCGCAGCATTAGGATTCGTTCACTCGACAGTTGGCAGGGACTTTTTTTGTATTTAACCAGTCGCTGCTATTTGGTCGTGACGTATGTAATGCACCTCTAACGGGGTTAACTGGTATATTAAGCTTTTCCCAAGAAAAAAGCACAATAACGTCTTTCCCCTTGATGAAATTCACCAAACATTCTCTTTGTTCTGGCTTTAAATCCTCGATCTTGGGAATCGTTGACGACACAGTATGTCTGGCTCTTCTCTGATTGGCTGGTGCCCGAACTCGCACTTCCCAGGTTTTTGTGAACCGTCTAGTGTATTCTGATTCCTGAACTAGTCGCTGGAGAGAAATGAAATTGAGCGGAGGCACTAGGTGGTGCCAGCCTGACTAATTATTTGCTGGATAACACACTTCAAAATCCCTTGGTGAATTGTTGAGCAAATACACATCACCTGAATTTCAAAAGCCTGTGGTGCCTTTTCTACTTATTTTATACCTGAAAATGTCCGTCTGTACGTCTTTTATAACCTGCTTTAGATCAGTACTGCGGTTCTCGGCCCCTGTAGCTGAGAATAGTTCAGCGCTGACATTATGAGCATTGTGTTTGCAGGAGGTCGGACCAGCCAGGCCATCGTGGAAGGAGCTCTGAACGCCCTCAAGTCTCTGGTCAAAGACAGGCTCAGCGGGAAGTCCGGCGGCTCCAGCTACAAGCAGGTCTGTGCAATAACGGCACAAAGAGGGTTATTATGGGGGAACATTGATATAAGAACGATTTCTTTTACCGTTTTTTAGTAGCAAGGCGTTTCTCAGACACATTTAACATTTAACATCCATAATCATAACTATTGTGGAACATTTGGTGAGCTCTGACATTATACATATATTTTTTTTAAAGACAATAGAATTTAACAAAATACAATAATAAGCATAAAAATAAAATGCAAAACATAAAACAATACCTACAACAAAACTCCTCACTCCTAACCCACCCCTTCCTTCCAAACACAAACAAATTTAATTAAATAAAACCGTGTGGTTATGCTGCACTACCACATTACTTCTGCTAGGCCCCCTTATATTTATGTATTGGCCAATTTATAATTTAATTTTCCTTTTCTCTTTCTCTCTCTGTATTATTACGAAGGCATTTTAGCTACTGTGGAGAGGTTGGACGATCATAATGCAGTTCTTCATGTCTCATCCTCTACAACACATTTTTATTGATGAAAATTGACCTCACACGTTCATAAATCCCAGCTGAAAAACTTCGTAAAATGCAATGAAATACAGTAAATTGTCCCAAATTACCCCAGGGAGAACCCCAGACCCCCTGGTACATATTTGTAATATTAACCCTTCCAGACATAAAGGCAATTTTCATCCATTTGTCCTCACCTGGATTTTTTTTTCTTAATTTTGCTATTAAAACTTCTGCTTTTATCCCCTAATGAAGTGTTTTACATCCCTTTTTTTTTTTTCAGTAGAACTTGTTATTTCACAATCTGCTGCTGTAGTGTCATATGGCTGTAATAAAAACCATAGGACCAAAATTACAAATGAAAATAAATTTCACACTTTTTCATACAAAACACTCAGCAAACATGTATAAACAACTTTTTGGACATAAAAAAAAATGCTCAATTTCAGGCCTTAGCTACAAAATCAAATTAAAATATACTTATTGCCTCAAAACAAAACAAAAAGTGGAAACAGCTCATGGAAACAGCTGGTGTCAGGTCCAGGGCGCAGAGCCGCATCACTTCCTGCAGTTCCATGGTGTAATTTTCCATTTATTTGAGAAATAACTGCATTTAAAGCAGCTTTTTCAATTGTTACGAACATAGACACTCAGAGCAGAAAACCTTTTTGACTCACTTGACTCTTTGGCAAAGTTTGGGCCAATCAGAATGGACAGAGTGCACGAGTTTGGAGGAAAACAAAGGTCATATTGGACGCTCGTTAATGCCGGAAATATGCTCGAAAAACAGCAACTCTCAGCTTTTCAAGGGGAAAAAAAGCAAGTTTCTATGTTTTATGGTTGGAAAGTTATGCGCGGTTATTTAAAGCATATTCCCAGGTCAGGCTGGAAGGGTTAAAGTCAAACGCCAACAGAGATCGTCGGTTACAAAGTACAAACATCGTCCCCGAACCCGGTGTCGTCCTTTTTTTGATAATCCCCAATCTGGTCACTCGATATAAACTCACAAAACGGCCCTAGTGTGACGTCCTGATTCCCAACTAGGAACTACACCTTGAGTAAATGAGTGGTCTGAGCTGTCGTAGGCACTTGTCTGATGTCTGAGGTGGTGTTGTGTTGCAGAGCGGAGGCAGCAGCGGCGGCGGCGGCAGCAGCGGGGGGCAGGACGTGGTGGAGCTCACGGACGATAACTTCGATAAACTGGTCCTGGGCAGTGATGACGTGTGGATGGTGGAGTTCTTCGCCCCCTGGTGTGGACACTGCAAGAAGTAAGACCTCTGCTCACTTGTTCTCTCATCATTTTAATCTTTTATGGTTTTACAAAGACGATATTAGTCACAATTATTGAGCTCAAAGACAAACAATACATTTTCTTTGGTTCATTTAAGCTCATCAATTAATAAAAGTTTCTGAATAAAGTCAAGTGAATGTGACCGAAAAGGATTTGAAAGCAAGACTGAAGAAGAAAGATTAAAAGTTTACTTTTTTGGATCCTTCCTCGGACTTCCTTGTTACATTTTTGGTACCAAGTCCAAATTTGTTAAGTTTTTCCAAATTTTGCTTTGAAGGCTGCACAGTTTAAGGCAGGGGTGTCCAAACTTTTTTCATCAAGGGTCACATATCTAAACACAGATGAAGCAGAGGGTCACAGACTGGGACTCATTACAGTGAATAATTGAAATATTTGCATGTTTAACACGTTAGAATGATCCATGAGTCTTTAAACACGCTAAGATCCTTAAAACCGACACTAAATATTAAATTTTAGCTTTATCAAAGTAGATTTTCAAAAAAACTTACAGTAAAAAGTTAATTCCTAAATGATGCCATGTCATTTGGAGCCTGAGGACCAAGAAAAACTTGTCCGAGGGCCGCATTTGGTCCACGGGCCGTAGTTTGGACATGCCTGGTCTAAGATGACTGTATGCGAGCAGATTCCAAAACACAAAATAACTTCTCTCAAATCACAGCGCAACCTGAAAACAGAACAAAAAAACCCACGAAATATCAAATCTTGATCTGTTCATATACATTCTGTGAAAATTTGAGGTTATTTCAACAAGAACTGCCAAAATTATTGCCGTGCGAAATGACGTCAAATATTTTGGGACACGTGTTATTTGTGTTGTACATTTTGACTCCACAAACAACCAGAGTTTTGCCCTTTTTCACTTCACTTAAAATCTGTAATAATCAACTAATGTTGAAATAGTAGCTGACAACACACGTTAAAATCAAATTATTGTGTACGTATTTCCGACTATTTGAATGCAGTCAACAAAATACAAAATTTTGAACGTCGTATATTTCGTACATTTTAAGTCGCACAAAGTGTGAGAAAAAGTAGCGGCTTTAGTCTGAATTTATGTAATCATCATTTTGATTAACCACATAATTTGTCTCTACATTTTGACATTTTCTCCCAACACAAAGTTTGCTCAATCTGAGTACTTTTCAAACTTCACCTGTCAATTTCACTTCACTGAATAAGCATTTTTTTTTAAATAAAATCTGTGACAACAATAATCGTTTTTAACCGTAAGTAATACAGAATGTAACACTTGAATAAAGTGTTTGCTAAACTGTCAGAGGCTTGAAAAGTGCATTCTGGACACATTTTCTGCTCTGTCTTATTTATTTTGAGTTATTATACAGGGCATTTTTCTGTGTCTCTTGAAGTGGTGTAATAAATTAAGGCTGTGCAATTAATCGAATTTTGATTGCATTTTTGATTTCCAAACTCATAATTGAGTTGAAACGATTAAAGCTTAACAGTGTTTATTTTGGGATTTTTTATGTATAAATAAGTATATTATATTTATTTTTTTAAAATAGAGATTGTAGAACAGCTGGATATATAGTTTATTTTGGATACATAAATGTTTTTCTTTTCCTTATTTCATTTGAAAGTTATTTTATTTTATTGTATTTTTCAATATAAACAAAAATAAGAAAACGAAAAAAACTGTTTCCTTCTAATTTGTTCCAAAACAAAATTGTAGCGATAATTTCGGTTTTTTTTTTTTCAGTTTTTATTTTGTGTTTAAATTAAAAATGGAACTAACGGACTGAACCAGGACTTAAACAGTCTGGGACTGAGGCTACTGAACTGGAACAAGATTGAAGTGACGGAAACGGGAAAAATCATTATCCGTTTTTTCCATTTTTCATTTAACACAAAATCAAAAACTGGACCAAATTTTTTTTTTTTCCATTTTCTTAATTTTGGTTTTATTTTGAAAAAAATGACAAATATTTAAAGCATATTTTATTTTTATACATCAAAACTGTCTAAGGTTCATATTTGTTGCCTATATTTATTTCAGTTTGAAAGTTTTCCATAAATTTCATAACAAAGTTTTGTTTTTTTTTTGAAGAGAGAATTGCTGAATAAATGCATTGTGTAACTAAAAATAATCATTTGAATAATTGTGATTTCAGTATTGACCAATGATAATGATTTTTTTCCATATTCGAGCTGCACTATAATAAATATAATCTAGATATTTGGATCATTTGCTGTTCCGTTGGTAATGTAAGAATGTGTAGATCTGTGCCTGAACACTTGACGACGAGTTTTGCATTTCCGTGTTTGTCGTGCAGTCTGGAGCCGGAGTGGGCGGCCGCCGCGTCATCGGTGAAAGATCAGACCAAAGGCCGAGTGAAGCTGGGAGCAGTGGACGCCACAGTGCACCAGGGCCTGGCCAGCAGATACTCCGTGAGTCCAGCGTGCAGGAGACAGACACGGCTCAACGCTCCACAGAGACGTTTGTTTACATCTGTGTCTGTGTGCAGATCCGAGGCTTCCCCACCATCAAGATCTTCCGTAAAGGAGAAGAGCCCGAGGACTACCAGGGGGGGCGCTCTCGAGGCGACATCATCAACGCGGCTCTGGACCTGTTCTCCGACAACGCCCCGCCTCCTGAACTCGTCGAGGTCTGTGCTCACGTCATAAACTTCCATTGCTGCTGCTGTTAGAGTTTCATGTAGGAAAAACTGTCCAGGTATTTTAAATTTCGCTCCATTTAAAGTTAAACTGCAAACAACGCAAAAGCAGATCCACCAAAACACGCTGAAAAGTGTTCGGGATGTAAAAATAACCGAAATATCGTGATATCGTATCGTCAAAGTTCTCACAATATATCGAATTAAAAGTCTCTTTGATTAAATGAAGAGTTCTGGTGCAGCAATAGCTAAAAAAAACACAGAGGGAACTACATAGACCATGATCCTTTGCTCCATTTCAGTGCAGACGACAAGAAGAAATAACAGTTTTAACACTTTTAAGTCTCAGTTCTTTGGATTAAGTCTTGTCAAGGCGTTTTAAGAGGAAAAAGTATTCAGTTTTGTAAGCCTCCACAAAATATCACATTCCCACGATATCGCAATAAATATCGTACCGTGAGGTTCATACAGTGATGATATTGTATCGCGAGAAGTTGTTATAATGGGACTGAGAGAATGTCGTCTTTTTTTCAGATCATAAATGAAGACGCCCTGAAGAAGACGTGTGAGGACAGTCAGCTGTGTGTGATCGCCGTGCTGCCTCACATCCTGGACACAGGTACATTTACACGCTCACGAGCCACTCTCTCAGCAGCGCCCTCTGCTGGTCAACATCCTGGATTCATAGAACTGGAGTTAGATTTGTAACTCGTGTGTGTTTGTGTGTGTTTGGTGCAGGGGCTTCTGGGAGAAACGCCTACCTGGACGTGATGATGAAGATGGCCGACAAGTACAAGAAGAAGATGTGGGGGTAAGGCCTGGTTCTGTTTCTGTTGACGTCTCGGTCTGTGTCTCCAAGGGTCAGATTTGTAACTTCACTCTGAGAGTTAAATGTGCTAAAACACAGCTGATACAAGAGACTGACTGTCAGATAAAGACGATTTTGTGCTCTTGGAAAATATTAGAGACCTTTCCTCAAAACAATTAAATTTAAAATAATAATAATAATGCATCAGTTTTATATAGCCCTATTTGGACATTCAGAGATGCTTTACATAGTTTTATTCATTCACTCTAGACCCGATGATGATAAGCTTCTATTGTAGCCACAGCTGCCCTGGGGCAGACTGACGGAAGCGAGGCTGCCAATCTGCGCCATCGGCCCCTCCCACCACCACCAACACACACCACTTTCATACTAGACAATGAGGGTGAAGTGTCTTGGACACAGTGACAGTTTTGAGTCTGGCGCCCCCCTGTGGCTCCTGATTTTCCCAGTGTTTTCATCCAAATACTGACCAGGCCTGGTCCTGAGATCTGACGGGATCAGGCTCTGACAAGCCGGTTTGGCCACATAATAAACCTTTTGCGTTTGCATATGACCTGTAACTTATATCACTGTTTCCCAAAGACTGGGTCGCGACTCTCAGGTGGGTCGCCCCATTTTTTTGGGGGGGGGTCGCCTTGTCACGATCTGATCTGCATGTAGGTCTGTGATATACATACATCTCCGTGCACCTCTGCTCACTTTTTCCTCTGCTCCTCACTTTTTTGCCTACGATACACTTAAAATCCTTTAGTTTTCTGAAAAATTGACAATGCACCTTTATAATCCAGTGTGCCGATTTTGTCAATTCTGAGTCATGTTCTTTAGCCCGACAGCAGCTGAACCACTTCCAACGAACAAAAAACAAAGAGTGAGCTTTTTTTTTTTATTGCTTATAGTTTATGCAAATGAGCCATATGGTTTTAAGTTTCATTTCTGTAAAACGTAAACAAACGTGCTCAAAGCTGAACTAAACCCATTATTACTCAGTCTATATTTGAGTCGTCCTTGTAGGAAATAAAAAAGTCAAGTGTCGTCCATTTGTTTCACTTAATGCGCCTTATAATACAAAAAATACGATAATTGTTCAGAGAGACATGATCACTTAATCAGCATTAATTTTCAATAATGGTCACGCATTTATTTTGTGATTTTCAAATGAATGTCTGTTGACTTGGGTTGTGAAGATTTGTGACTTTCAAAATATGGGTCTCCAGAAAAAAAGTTTGGGAAACACTGATTTTACATGATATGTGTGGAGCTGCTCCTGATGCCCTGGTTTGTGTTTGTGTGTTTTTGTGTTTGCGTGTGTATTTTTATGTGTGTTTGTGTTTGTGTGTAGGTGGCTGTGGACAGAGGCCGGAGCTCAGCTGGACCTGGAGGCCGCTCTGGGCATCGGGGGCTTCGGGTATCCCGCCATGGCCGCCATCAACACCAGGAAGATGAAGTTTGCTCTGCTCAGAGGCTCCTTCAGCGAGACGGGCATCCACGAGTTCCTCAGGTACACGCCGACATACGAACTACAAACAGGACGATACTTTTACACGTGAAATAACCTCTGTGTGTGTGTTTTTGTGTTTGCTGTAGGGAGCTGTCGGTCGGCCGTGGTTCTACTGCCACACTGGGAGGAGGAAACATGCCCAAGATCAGCAAAGTGGAGCCCTGGGATGGAAAAGATGGACAGGTCTGTGCTCGTCTTTTTCCACACTGTAGGAACCTTTTTCACTTCTTTGTCCTTTATTTAATTCTGTTGATTCACGTTCACCGGGGGCGGGTATGTTTATAGTCGGACCAGGAACCTTTTTGTCACATTTCCAACACTGTCTTTGTTTGTAAAAGTACATTTCTTAATTAGTAAATAGTAATTAAAATTCAGGATAACTGTGGTAATAATAATTTAGTCATTTAATTTCTTCTAGAATGTGTTCTGCTTCGCTCTTAAAGCAGGTTTGGGTTTGGCAAAGGCGTTTATACCCTAATTTTTTATTTTTTTTTAATTTTCTAATGAAAATGATTCAAGTCAGGTTCTGTACTGGTCCTTTTGTCTGCGGTCACCCGACGGTCTACGCGGGCGCACCTCCGCCTGCCCCGATACTCAGACCTGTTTTAGTCCCGTTTTTTTAGTTCTGGTTTTAGTCCTGGTTTGTTTTAGATCTGGTTTTAGTCCTGTTTTGATTTAGATCTGGTTTTAGTCCTGTTTTGATTTAGATCTGGATTTAGTCCTGGTTTTAGTCCTTTTTATTCTGTTTTAGTTGGTTTTAGTCCTGTTTTGTTTTAGTCCTGGTTTTAGTCCTGTTTTGATTTAGATCTGGATTTAGTCCTGGTTTTAGTTTTCCTGTTTTTTTAGTCTGGTTTTAGTTTATTTTAGTCCTCTGGTTTTTAGTCCTGGTTTGGTTTTAGACCTGGTTTTAGTCCTGGTTTGGTTTTAGTCCTGGTTTTAGTTCAGTTTAGTTTTAGTCCTGGTTTTAGTCCAGTTTAGTTTTAGTCCTGGTTTTAGTCCTGTTTTGTTTTAGACCTGGTTTTAGTCCTGGTTTGGTTTTAGACCTGGTTTTAGTCCTGGTTTGGTTTTAGACCTGGTTTTAGTAGTTTGGTTTAGTTTGGTTTTTTGTTTTTTTAAGACCTGGTTTTTGTTTTAAGTCCTTGGTTTAAGTCCTGGGTTGTTTTAAGTCCTGGGTTGGTTTTAAGTCCTGGGGTTTGGTTTTTAAGTCCTGGTTAAGTTTGGTTTTAAGTCCTGGGTTGGTTTTAAGTCCTGGGTTGGTTTTAAGTCCTGGGTTGGTTTTAAAACTGGTTGGGTTTTAAGTCCTGGGTTGGTTTTAAGTCCTGGGTTGGTTTTAAGTCCTGGTTGGGTTTTAAGTCCTGGGTGGGTTTTAAGTCCTGGGGTTTTGATAATAATCCAGATTGTTTTCCGTTCTTTTCTGCAGCTTCCGTTGGAGGAGGACTACGACCTCAGCGACGTGGAACTGGACGACGACTTTGGCAAAGACGAATTATGAGCCCCCGAGCCCGAACTCATCCCGGACTTTACCCGGACCGGACCAGGTCTGGGGCCGGTCTTCGGTCCCACGGGCCACGCCTCCTCTCTCCTGTGGACGAACGGGGAGGCCGGGCGCCCGCAGTTACTGAAAAGTTACTCCTCCCAAGACCCGTCCGAAACCTGGGACCCGCGGGGCGACTTCACACAAAAACTGCTCACGTTTCTACTTTTATTTTATTTTTTTTTTATTTCTGTGGCGTCGTGCGGAGCCTGTCACACGGGGAGGCCACAGAACAAACGGACGAAGTCAAATTGTGAATCCTCTTTGAATGATTGTGCTTTAAGTAAATATTTGAACGTGTTTAAGGTGCCTTCTGCTCCGGCTCCTCTGTGGTTTGTCTCAGCCGGTTCCTGCAGACGACGCCTCCAACCAAACGTCTAAACAATTCTACAAATTCTCACTGCAAAAAATAACTGGTTAATTCAGCAGATTAAACCGGTCTGACTCACACATATATATATATTTAAATGTTTTTCAGCTTCGACTTTGACTTTTCTGATTTTCGTATTTTTGAAATCAGTCAAATAAGAAACTTTGGTAACACTTTAGTTAATGGACCACAGGTTTGCGAATTGGCTGTTATTTGGTTATTAATGTATTAATTAAATTTAACTTTATTAAGCTTTTTAAGATTTCAGTGTAAGCACAAAAACATCTACTGTATGGGAAAAAAATGGAAAAATGCGTTATAAATACTAACAAAAATGTACCGTATTTTTCGGACTATAAGTCGCACCAGCCAAAAAATGTATAATGAAGAAGGAAAAAAACATTTTTAAGTTGCACTTTTTGGGGGAACGTCACATATGAACAGACCTGGTTTAGACCTCGGGTTAGTTCCTCGGTTCAGACCTGATTTAGTCCTGATTTAGACCTGGGCTAGACCTAATTTAGATCTGGCTTTGACTTCATTTAATCCAGGTCCTGATTCTGATCATGGTTAGACCTGGTTTAGACTTGGTTTAGACCTCGGGTTAGTTCCACGGTTCAGACTTGATTTTGTCCTGATTTTGTCCTGGTTTAGACCTTCGGTTAACCTGGAGACCTGGGTTCTTGGGTTAAAGACAGGTTTAGATTCTGGTTAGGGTTGATTTGTTTTAGACCTGGGTTTAGACCTGGTTTTTAGGGGTTTAGACCTTGGATTAGATCTGACTTTGACTTTGTTTAGTCCAGGTCCTGATTCTGTTCATGGTTAGACCTGGTTTAGACCTCAGTTAGACCTAGACTTGGTTTAGGACAGCTTCCAGTTCAGACCTTGGTTTAGACCTTGGTTTAGTTGGGGACTAGACCTGGTTTATATTTACTGAATTATTCGGGTCTTTCTGAATGGATGGTTTCGGTGTCACTGAAGTCCAGACTTTGTCCATCCAGTGACTTCAGGAAAGTTTCATGGTTCATCCTCCCGGTGTCACAAGTTTCTCTCTCACTCCAAACTTTCTTTCTGCTGCTCGATTTCCGTTTTCAGCTGCAGATTTCACGACTTGCAGCAGATACTGACACAAAAAACTAGAGCCTTCTCCACGGCTTCAGTCTCAACATTTTAATATATCAAGTCGCAGGAAACACCCAAACCATGAAAAAACGTGCGAATTATAGTCCGAAAAATACATTAATTAAGCACTTATTATGCATTTTACTATTAACTAACCATTAATACGTGATCTCTAATCTAAAGTGTCACCGAAACTTTGATTTAAATGGTTCATGTTTTAACGTTCGTAAAATCCCTCAGCTACGTAATGCGCCGTTAAATGAAATCTTAAAGGTGAAATATGTCACTGAGGGCCACTTCTTGCCCGTCTCCATGGAGATTGCTTTGCCTTTAAATGTTCCACACTAGAGCATTTAATTTATTGCTTGCGTTTTTGCGTTTTGTAGGTGTTTTCTTTGCTAAACCAACCATTTTTTTCCCCCATTATTACGGTGCGTGGACTTGCGACACCTGCTTGCCCTTTTTTAGAGGCTGCTGCAGTTAAAGCGACACTGTGGAACATTCAAGGCAACGCAAAAGCTCGAAATTTTTTAGAGGCGGAGCGCTTCACTGGGTCATAGAAAAGTTAAAAAAAAACAGCAGTACAGGTCTACGAGGGTTAAACTTGTCATCTTAAGAGAAAAGTTACACTTACTGAAAAATGTAAAAGTGATTCTTGAGTCGGTTTCACTTCGTGGGAACCGGTTCTGATAAGACGCCTGAATACATCGATCACAAATATGAATAATAAACTCTTTAACTTTGCTTTCCCTCCGTTGACGAGACTCTGAGCCTGACGTGTAGGTGGGATGAATGTGACCTGACCGTTCATGTCAAAAGATCAGATATGTATCGGTTTTAGGAGCACAAATCCAAGTGTCCTGGGTCACATTTGAAAACAAATCGGATCTGTCGTTTATTTAAAGTCATTAAAAGATCAGATACAGAAGCATAGAGGCGAAAAAATTGGATTTGGGTCACTTCGGGCTGCAGTCTGAACGTAGATTTAGACGTCCTGAGTTCAAGAAATTTTCACTAAGATCAGTTTTTGCCGTGTCTTAGTCCTGATACTCTCTTTAAAAACGGTTTCAGAGTCTCTAGATTCTTCGTCTGTCTCCATGTTTGATCTTTTAATGACCCATAGCTCGATTTTAGACAGATACAGAAGCATAGAGGCGAAAAAATTGGATTTGGGTCACTTCGGGCTGCAGTCTGAACGTAGATTTACGCATGGGAGTTAAAGAAATTTTCACTAAGATCAGTTTTTGCCGTGTCTTAGCCCTGATACTCTCTTTAAAAAACGGTTTCAGAGTCTCTAGATTCTTCGTTTGTCTCCATGTTTGTGTCTAAATTGAGCTGTGGGTCATTAAAAGATCAGATACAGAAGCATAGAGGTGAAAAAATCAGATTTGGGTCACTTCGGGCTGCAGTCTGAACGTAAATTTAGGCGTCGGAGTTAAAGAAATTTTCACTAAGATCAGTTTTTGCCGTGTCTTAGTCCTGATACTCTTTAAAAAACGGTTTCAGAGTGTCTAGATTCTTCGTCTGTCTCCATGTTTGTGTGTAAAATCGAGCTGTGGGTCTGGCCTGGTGTCCGGTGTCCGGGGTCGGGGGGGATGATGTGGGACAATGATGTGGGGACGACTTCTTGTGTAGATTTTTCTTACACGACTTTATTTGAATTGTGTGAACCAAATGACATTTTGTTACAAAAATAAAAAGGACTAAAAACAGCCACGGTCTCGGCGCATTCATACGAACGTTTACAAAAAAGGAGGAGGAGGAGGAGGAGGAGGGCGCATGCAAACAAAGAACCGTCCAGGAACGCTGAAGCCACTTAAAGCTGCACTGTGGAACTTTTCTGGTGAGTCGCCTTTGTCTCTCTGAAACAGTGTTGACACGATTCTAAAATTTACTGATTCTGACGCCGCAATGACACGAAAACAGTCTGTATGATTTTCCACAGTTCGTTTTTTTACTTTTGGTTTTAATTTGAAAAACAAATGAAAAAAAAAAAAAAAACTAAACTATTTTCTTCATTATTTGTCTCCAAAACCCATTTTATCCAATTTTGACCATGGATCTGTAATAAAAACTGGAGATGCTGGACTTTTGTGCCACATACGGACTAAAACAGGACTAAACTTGGACTGAACCAGAACTGAGCCAGGAGGACTAAACCAGAACTAGGACTGATCCCAGGACTAAAACAGGACTGAGTTGGACTCAACCAGGACTGAGCTAGGACTAAACTGGGACTGAACCAAGCCTGAACAAGGAGGACTAAGCCAGGACTGAACTAGGATTGAACTATCACTGAAGCAGGATTGAGCTGGACTAAAACCTGGACGACTAAACTGACGACTAACCTGAACTAAACCTGGAGGACTGAGCCTGGACTGAGCCTGGACTGAGCCTGGACTGAGCCTGGACTGAGCCTGGACTGAGCCTGGACTGAGCCTGGACTGAGCCTGGAGGACTGAGTTAGGACTAAAACAGGACTGAAATAGGATTTGAGTGTCCGAGATTAGTCCTGATTCAGTCCTGGTTTAGTCCTCGGTTCAGTTCTGGTTCAGTTCTGGTTTAGGTTTAGTCCTGGTTTCAGTCCTGGTTTAGTCCTCGGTTCAGCTCTGGTTCAGTCCTGGTTTAGTCCTCGGTTCAGCTCTTTAGTCCTGGTTTAGTCCTGAGTCCTGGTTCAGTCCTGGTTGGCTCAGTCCTGGTTTCAGTCCTGGTTCAGTCCGTATGTGGCGCAAAATTTTGGCATCTCCAGTTTTTTTATTATAGATCTATGGTCTCAGTGTAGAACGTTCCAGACTGTCCAAAACATCTCCATGGCGTCACCAGAAAAGTTACACAGTGAGCATTAATCCAGAGGAAAATCAAAACGAACAGTCAAGTTTTGATAAAAAAAATAAAATAATAATCTTAACTTTCCTAAAGTTCTGTAAGAAGAAAGCAAAATCACCTGTTTTGAAGGAATTATGCAAAATAATAAACGGTTGGGGGCCCGTCAGCTGCTCGTTTCTATGGAGACGTCATCGCTCTGCCTGGAATGTTCCGCAGTGTGGCATTAAACAGATCTACCTTACAATTTTTTTCAATTAAAGGTGGTTTTAGAGTCAAAAACACCTAGAAAAACAGACATTCTGACTGTGAGCGGGTCGCCTCTCCACAGATCTGACCTGTATACCTTGGTCTGGTTTGCAATAACGTCTCCGTGGAGAAAAGCGCTCGACGGACCCTCCGCCAAGAAAAGTTACACGGTGCACCTTTAGCGACACAGTTAATCAGAGTGAACACAGATCACATGAGCCTCGTCTTCAGCCAAACATGAACAGAATCATAATACTTCAAAGTCCTGCAGTAGAAACATGGATTATGGCACAAAGTCACTGGAAAAAAACTCCCACAGAACATGTACTCGAGTACTCGTGTGTCACTGAGTGTGTTTACATGCGCACGAGGATCCCGGTTTACGAATCTTATCCCCGGTTTAAAAGTCTTATCCCGGTTTAAAAGTCTTGTCCCGGTTATGACTTTTATTCTGTTTTAAAATTCTTATCCCGGTTTAAAAGTTTTATCGTGGGTTAAGAGTTTTATCCTGGTTATGAACCTAATCCCAGTTTCAAATTCTTATCCCGGTTACGACTTTTATCCCGGTTTAAGAGTCTTGTCCCGGTTTAAAAGTCTTGTCCCGGTTTAAAAGTCTTGTCCCCGGTTTAAAAGTTTTATCCCAGTTTAAAAGTCTTGTACCGGTTTAAAAGTTTTATCCCGGTTTAAAAGTCTTGTCCCGGTTTAAGAGTCTTGTCCCGGTTTAAAAGTCTTGTCCCGGTTTAAAAGTCTTGTCCCGGTTTAAGAGTCTTGTCCCGGTTAAGATCTTGTCCCGTTAAAAGTCTTTTAAAAGTCTTGCCCGGTTAAAGTCTTGTCCCGGTTTAAAAGTCTTGTCCCGGTTTAAAAGTCTTGTCCCGGTTTAAAAGTCATATCTAGGTTTATGACCCTTATCACAATTTAAAAGTCTTATCCCGGTTTAAGAGTCTTATCCTGGTTATGAGCCTAATCCCAGTTTAAAATTCTTATCCCGGTTACGACTTTTATCCCGGTTTAAGTCTTATCCCGGTTTATGAGTCTTGTCCCGGTTATGAGCCTAATCCCGGTTTAAAAGTCAAATCTAGGTTTATGACCCTTATCACAATTTAAGAGTCTTATCCAGTTTAAAAATCGGATCCTGGTTTAAAAGTCTTGTCCCGTTTTTTTTTTTTTTTTCGTCCTTAAATAAATACAAAAGTTACAATTAAAACGAAGAGGTTTTCAACTACAAAATAAAAATTCCATGGTCTTATGACCGTCAGTTTAAGAGTTTTGTCCCGGTTTAAAAGTCGGATCCCGGTTATGACTTTTATCCTGTTTTAAAAGTATTATCCCGGTTTAAAAGCCTTACTCCGGTTTAAAAGTCTTGTCCCGGTTTAAAAGTTTTATCCCGGTTTAAAAGCCTTACTCCGGTTTAAAAGTCTTGTCCCGGTTTAAAAGTTTTATCCCGGTTTAAAAGTTTTATCCCGGTTTAAAAGTTTTATCCCGGTTTAAAGGTATTATCCCGGTTTAAAGGTATTATCCCGGTTTAAAGGTATAATCCCGGTTATGAGCCTTACCCCGGTTTAAAAGTCGTATTGTTTTTCTCATAACCGGGATCCTGACATGTCCACAAAACTGAAACCAGGTTTCTGCGTTTACGTGGACACTCACAGAACCAGGATACTCCAAAAAACCTGATCATAACCGTGAAACTCGAGCTCATGTAAACAAAACACACTCAGTGACGAGCACAGAGGGAGAGTTGTGTCCTTGGTGACTGCACGGCGAAAAGCTTGGCCAAAATTTACGATATAAACACTTAAATCGATCCGAAAATGACTTAAAATGAAAATAAAAAGATCCGTCCATGCAGCAAGATCATTTTACTCGACAGGTTTTCTTAAAATAAACGACCTCGAGACTAGAATTAAGATAATAAATGTGAAAACGAGATAAAAAACCTGATAGAAGTTTTACAATCTTGGTCAGATCGGGGAAATTTACAGTCAGTTTTCTTTCGGACGCTCGGAATGTGTTCGGAAAATGAGGAAAACTTGGGACGGCTGCGAATCGTTTCAAATCTCTCGTTCTGTTTTTCACTTTTTCCAAACCAGGTGCAGCGCCGTCGAAGTCCAAAAAAGTGAGTCCGGACCTGCTTTTTCCCGCCGTAGACGACAACGTACGACTAAAATCCCGACGTTTCCGGGATTTTCCGAGACTCTTCGGCGGTTTGGCGTCGGATTAAATACTGGAATTCCACGGTTTAAAGAGCCGGACGAGGACGACTGAGCGCGGAGACGTTTGTAGAGACGTCCCAGGAGTCCAAGGACGCACAGGAGAGTCTTCAGTCACGTGTGTCCTCTCCGGAATGTGGACACGAGGAGGGACACGAGGAGGGACACGAGGAGAGACAGGAGGAGAGACAGGAGGAGGGACACGAGGAGGGACACGAAGAGGGACACAAGGAGAGACAGGAGGAGGGACACGAAGAGGGACACAAGGAGGACAGGAGGAGGGACACGAGGAGGGACACAAGGAGAGACAGGAGGAGGGACACGAGGAGGGACACAAGGAGGGACAGGATGGATTTAATGGACATGAGGGACCTGTGGGACATGTAAGGGACAGGAGGAGGGACAGGAGGAGGGACACGAGGAGGGACACGAGGAGAGACACGAGGAGGGACACGAGGAGGGACAGGATGGATTTAATGGACATGAGGACCTGTGGGACCTGTGGACATGTAAGGGACACGAGGGGAGGAGGGAGGAGGGACACGAGGAGGAGGACAGGAGGAGGGACACGAGGAGAGACACGAGGAGGGACACGAGGAGAGACACGAGGAGAGGACCGAGGAGGACAGGAGAGGGACACGAGGAGGGACACGAGGAGGACAGGAGGAGGGACACGAGAAGGGACACGAGGAGGGACACGAGGAGGGACAGGAGGAGGGACACGAGGAGGGACACGAGGAGGGAGGGAGGGACACAAAAGAGAGGGACACGAGGAGGAGACAGGAGGAGGACAGAGGAGGACGAGGAGGGACACGAGGAGGGACACGAGGACACGAGGAGGGACACGAGGAGGAGGACAGAGGAGGGACACGAGGAGGACAGGAGAGGACAGGAGGAGGAGGACACGAGGAGGACACGAGGAGGGACACGAGGAGAGACACGAGGAGAGACACGAGAGAGACACGAGAGAGGAGGAGAGACAGGAGGAGGGACACGAGGAGAGACACGAGGAGAGACACGAGGAGGAGAGACAGGAGGAGGAACAGGAGGAGGGACACGAGGAGAGACAGGATGGATTTAATGGACATGAGGGACCTGTGGGACATGTAAGGAACACGAGAAACATGAAGGACGTGAGTAGGAAGATGAGGAAAGACAAGAGGGACATAATGGACATGGGGACCTGTGGGACACGTGGGACATTAGAAGACATGAGGGTGAGGAGTAGGGATGTCCCCATCACATTTTTTTGTCCCCGAGTCCGAGTCTGAGTCATTTGATTTTGAGTATCTGCCGATACCGAGTCCCGATCCGATACTTCTATAAAACATTATGAAATGAACTAAGAGCAAAGAAGAGGCGAGTTTCAGTTGACGTCATTGTTATTAAAAGCCGGCGTTGCTGCTGGGAAATATTTTAGTCGGAGGCAAGAAAGAGGATAGCGTCAAACACAGTGCGTAACCTCATGTATTTATCCCTGATAATGGTAAATTCCTGCTGCATTATCAGATGCACAAATAGAAGCACGGAAGAAGGAAAATGTCTTTTTCTGTATTCTGAGTGAAAAGAACCGCTAACGGTGAATTAAACGACTTTCAAACATCCGCAGAGCAAACGTAGAAGATCCTAACAAACCGTGGACTCCAACAAGTTCAACAACACATCGAGACTCTTGGAGGTTTTCATCTTTTCTGCTGTGAATGGCCCAGGAGTTTCCACCAAGTCATTGTGGATGTCGCCCAAGTGAATATTTGTCCAGGTAGTTGGCGATTCTGACCCAGAAATTTGGTTTTTGTTCACCTTTTTGTCGGGTTGAAAAGGGTGATTTGTCGTCCGTCGATGCTTATGACCAATTTCTGGTCAAATGGGTCTTGGGTCGTCTGCCGTTAGAGTGGAATAAATAACCAGGATCAATACCCTTTACGTGCTTTCTCGCTCCGTCCGTCGTGTTGAATTAGTGTTTCTTGCCGCCAACCAAAATAATTCCCAGCATGCAACGCGCGCTTTAGTCAACGATGAAACTCGCCTATTTGAAACATTTAGACTCCAAACGATAGAAAATCTTACCAAATAAAAAGGAGATGACAGAAGCCCCACAGCCTCTGACCCCCAGCGCCAGTGCGAGTCCCGGACGCTGGGACAGACGGTCGCGTGAACTGGACGTCCCTGAACAAATCCCGCAAAAAAAACCCCAAAACTGTTGTGTCCTGTGTGCGCTGTGTGTTATATATGTGTATTATTTATCCAATACCGGATCGGGACATAACGGATCGAGACAACCCTAGTAAAGAGGGACATGAAGGACATAATTGACATGAGTAGGAGGGAAAAGAAGGACATGAAGGACATATAAAGGACATGCGTAGGGAGATAAGGAGGGACAAGAAGGACATATAAGGGACAGGAGGGACATAAGGAACACAAGAAACATGAAGGACATGAGTAGGAGGGAAAAGAGGGACATGAGGGACACGAGTAGGGAGATGAGGAGAGACGGGATGGACATATAAAGGACACAAGGGTCAGGAGGGACGTGAAGGACATAACCGAGGAGGGAAAATAAAGACGTGAGGGACACAA